TGATTCTTATGTCAAAAGAGCCGCTTACATGTGTCGGTGTCAGGGCACTGAAATTTACATTACTTTTTCGTAGTGTGTACTATCGCTGGTGGGAATTTGAGGTCGAATCCTCAACACAGCGGACACAGCTTTCGGCACAGATAAAATATTCGGCACGTATTGAGATGTGCAGAGTTGTTTAAAATTGACGCAGCAGATGAAAATTGCTTCCATCTCCACCTGTAGTCTACTTCGATCGGTCTGTGCATAATATGCTTTGAACTGTGAAGATAGCTGTCTATCGTACGAAAGTGCAGTGCACTGTTGGTTATGGTTGATTCGTGCTGCCGCATTTGAAACTTTCCCTAACATTTTCGATACGGAAAATATATATGAAAAAAAAATCCGTTTCCATCTCCGTGAACGGCAGCCGTGAACCAAGACTGGGCATAGAGTATGGTTGTACTTGCCACACAATTATACTAATGTCAAAATAGTACAGGCATCGAAAGCTCTCAATTAATAACTGTGGAAACGCATATAGAACAGTAAGTTGAGAGCAAGCAATACTTAAGCTAATATGCGATAAGCAATAAGAAGAAGCCGTGAGATACTTCCGTTAGAGTACGGCAGTGTGAAAATTGTATACAGAGAGTAGAAAGCGAGCAAAGGTCAATTTTCAGGAAGGTACGAATCGGGTTTATCATCTCCTCTACCAAACTCCCCCGTTGGGCACACAGTAAAAAAATAATTTTAATATTACATCAAAGTGGATGCACTTCAATCGTGTCGAAAATATGGTGTAATATTACTTGCCAAAAAGGAAAAAAAACATTTGTATTTGTATTTGTATTTAAAATAATTCATCTGACAATTTAGTCTTAATGAATAAAATAAGAGCTAATTTAACACAGACCTAATCCGATTTGCAAAACGTTCGGTTGGTTCATTGAACTCGAAAAACTCTTCGACAGCCGTAAACGCACGAATACACACTGAGATTGGTTCGTTGTTCCCAAACATGGTTCGGTGAAAACTTGGTTGCAGTAGCGTTGTATTCCGAAGAGATCTGCTCGGCTCACGAAAGTTCAACATCGCAAGCAGGTCGGGGGCATCAGTTTCACCATTCAACAGCTTAGCAATAAGCAACGATTGCTGTACTTTCCGTCGTTGTTCCAGTGTGTCTAAGCCCAACAGTCGGCATCTATCAGGATACGGCGACAAATTGTCAGGATCACTCCACGACAAGTTTCTCAGTGCCAGCCGAATGAACCGTTTCTGAATCCGTTCGATTCTTAGGCACCACGTGACATGGTGAGGATGCCAAACGACGGACAAATTTTCCAAAATTGGACGGACAAGTGCACAGTACAATGACTTCCAACAATGTGGATCCGAAAAATCCTTCGCAACTTTGGAAATAAAGCCCAACTGTCGCGTTGCTTTCGATATGAGCGCTGAACGGTGTAAATCAAAAGTCATTTTTGTGTCTAGTTGAACCCCTAGATCAGTCACACTGGTAACTCTGGTAAGAGTATCGCCGTCAATATGATAGTCAAACAAAATTGGATGTACCATGCGGTGAAACGTGATTATCTGACATTTTTCTACGCTAATAGTCAGTTTGTTTCTCTGGCACCAATCGGCAAACAAAGTCAGCGAGTTTTGCAGAAGCCAACAATCTTCTGGTGTGCGCACTACAATGTACAGCTTTAAATCATCTGCATAGACCAGTTTGAATCCTTCGCCCAGAACCAAAGCAGCATCGTTGAAGAACAGAATAAACAGCAACGGTCCGAGATTACTACCTTGTGGAACTCCAGACTTGTTTGAAAACGACGAAGATACACAATCCTTAACCTTCACTCGAAGTACACGCTCTGTAAGGTAGGATTCCAACCAAAAAACCAATTGCATAGAAACTCCAAGACGAGATAGCTTGTGTAGCAGTATGTTATGATCAATTTTATCGAACGCCGCCTTCAGGTCGGTATAAATTACATCGACTTGCGCGTTTTCCTCCATACTTGTTATGCACTTCGACGTAAAATTCAAAAAATTGGTGGTAACCGATCGTCCGGGCATGAATCCGTGTAGATCAGTGGATATGTAGCTTTTTGTGGCATCGAGAATAACTCCACCCACTATAATCTCAAACAATTTTGAGACAGCTGAGTTTTAAATCCCGTAAACGGAGAGTACTCCAGGTAGGCGAAACTGACGGCCGAATTCGTGGAACATTCGAAACAAGCCAATCGTTCAAAATGGAACAAAACATTTCCACCATTTCATCGACATCTATGATAGTAGATATCGCATTCCAGTCAACGTTTAGCAAAAAGTTCGAAAGGGCCGCAAAATCAATCATTCGAAAGTTTAGAGGTCGCTCCTCATGTCTTTCAATCGGTTCGTCACACGCCACAAGCGCTGGTAGAGAGATCTCAAGCGGGGGTGGTGAGAGTCAACGGGTAGCAACGGAACTGAGCAGCTATTCTCATTAACCTCACAATCAGGCAAACAAAAAACCAGATCGAGAATGCGATCGAGCGGATTGCGCACAAGATTCCTTTGGCCAAAGCATATAGATAATCCATACCATCCAAAAGAGTGCTACTGGACAGCGGTAGTGGTGAAGCATCACATTGGATGACGTTGTCAATTGAACACCAGCGCTTGCGTGGTTGATTATAATCACCACATACCAGGATAGCGTCACCAGTCGAATACTTTCCACAAAGCTCATTAAAGGAGGAAACGTGGTCATTGATTACAATTACATCTTGGCTATTGTCCTATGGAATGTAGATTGCACACATTTAAACCTTTCTGCCTTTGATCGTCGAGGAAACACATATTTGTTCCAAACTTTGCCCACTCACGGTTTGTACAACACGGCTGTCATATCACTGCGCACTAGCGATCAAAACACCACCGAAGCGAGATTTCCTACTATTAGCAGGGCTCCGATCACAACGAAAAACATTAAAGCCTGAACCAAATAGCTGCAGCGTCGTGATGCAGTTGTCCAATCCAGTCTCGGTCATGATGATCACATCGAAGTTGCAATCGGTTGCCGCTAGAAGTAGGTCATCTATTTTCGTTCTCAGGCCACGTACATTTTGATAATATATCCAGATATCATCATTATCGCGACGGTCATAGGAGATCAAAAGCAAAACAAACTGTATTGTGGTGACACCTAAGTTCCGGTTCAGTAACTAAAAACGTGATGATAGTTTTGTTTTTTTTTAAATGGCGGTGGTACGGAACTACTGAAAAATACTTGTGTATCACTGTGAATTTCACGGATTTCTATAATGAAACTATTCGGATATGGTAAAAAACATATCAACTCTATCCCTCACATTTTATATGGCTTTTAAAGAATAATCTGAACGAAAATTGAGATCCAGTTTTCAAATTTGCATTTGATTGAGGTTAAAATCTTTGCGTACTGAAGAAAGGTTCACCGTTTGTAACGACAACGACGTCATTTTCCTGGGATACCGGAAATATGATGCGAGTAGTATTCATATCATCGGATTTATAACCCAAAGCTCTACTCCGGGCCAGGTTTCACTCAAACTCTAACTGATCTTGCGTGCCTCGATATCATTTTTTTCTACAACTCCTAAAGCCATTTCCACATACTCGTCCAGTACGCAACTTTCAGATCTTTTATGAGGGGATTGCATCCTAATTCAATTCCATACGGGTGCATGTAATCACTGAGTTGAATTAATTAAAAAAAACGTAGGTTACAATTTACTTCCAACAAAATCACTTTGGGTGAAATGCTGGGCACAATTTTTTTCTATATGATATATGATATCCGAAAAACACAATTTTCATGTCTGCGTTGAATATTCAACTATCGGAACTAAGGTCAGTTTGTCGTTTTTTCCCTTCTGAACGTGATAAGCTTAATGGTTTTTCAGTATTTTGCGAGAAATTTAGAAATTGATATTTAATATTTAACTTTTAACCAAAGAATTTGACAGATGCAAGCAAAAGTATCATCACAAGGACGAAAGCGCCGCCTACATGTCGGTGCTAGCCTTTGAACGCGAATTGCACTGCAACGTACAATCAATGAGTGTAGGAAGTTCAAACTTGTCAAAATACTCGCCTCTGGCAGGATCCTGCGGGCTCCCACCGTGCACATAACACCGCATTACATTTGCATCGTCGTTACTGGACTGTCCTGGGGGTGTTAAAGGGAACTCCCTGGATGTGGTGTACATTCGACGTGTCAGGTTTTTTGAAATATCCATAAACTCCCTAAACATCAAACCGTTGGGTCAATTTTCTGCATTGAGGGCTTGCGCTTTTAGAGTTGGGTCGAGACCAATTTTGAATGACACGAAGGTCATGTTCGAAACATCTTTCCCTTCCGGCACTAGTCGAATGACATTCATTGATTCGTTTGAATCCAAATAATGGGAAACAATTTGTTTAGCATCTTTATCGGTGAACTTAGGTTGAAATCCAGACAGATAAAGCCAGAATACTGGTGTCGGAGCGGCAGGTGTGATGAAAGGAACGGAAAGGTCTTCAAAATTCATCGCGACGGCGCTTTGCACTTACTCTCGGCCAAACTGGTGTCCTGTTCTCATTTGATACAGTGAACATAGGCGAGGCATCAGGACAATTGTTTTGTGTCGGTGCAGATGAAATGTTGTCAACTTTTTTCTTGCCACACAATTATACTAATGTAAAAATAGTGCAGGCATCGAAAGCTCTCAATTAATAACTGTGGAAACGCATATAGAACACTAAGTTGAGAGCAAGCAATACTTATATGCTAATATGCGACATTAATACAGAGCATGAACTGAACTTACGCTGCTTTTACTGCATTTGTTTATTTTTGTGGCCATAAAAATCACATGAGATTTTCGATATGATTGAAGTGCATCCTTTTGGATGTAATATTAAAATTTATTTTATGCTGTACAGGGATGAGGGAAATTTTCTTGGAAATTCGAGAAAAGAAATGTGAGAATTCTGAATTCACTTACCTTATCAACCACTTGGGATTATCTGCAAAAAAAAAGAAAGAAAAAATCATTAGCTAATATTTCTCTTATCTCCCTCAGAACCGGCAAGAACGCCATGATGTTCCAGCGGACCGGTGACGACTACGGGACGATCTACAGCATGCTACCGTGGACGCGGTACATCTTCCCCAACCAAACCAAGTTCAAAACGATCCGCGAGGGAAGCCTCGGAGTGAACCGGTTCATCGAGTCGATCATCCAGAAGCGATTGGAAAGCCACGAAGAGGGCCACGTTCGCTGCTTCCTGGATCTCTACTTCAACGAGATGAAGAAAACGGCTCCCCTCGAGGGCGATGCCTTCGGTTTTCAGCGTAAGGCCGACAACTACTCAAGTTTGCCAAATGCATTTTTCCTACATTCCCTTTACACCTCCAGATGATCAGCTGGTCCTCGGCATCGTGGACTTTTTCTTCCCGTCCATTTCCGGTGCGACAACGCAGATTGCTTTGCTACTGGAGCGACTTCTCTGGCATCCAGAGGTCGTCCAGAAGATGCAAGCCGAGATCGATGATGTCGTGGGCCATGGACGACTCCCGTCGCTGGACGATCGCATCAATCTGCCCTTCACGGAGGCAACCCTTAGGGAAGGCATGCGAATCGACACCCTCGTTCCGTCGGGAATCGCCCACTGTGCCATGGAGGATACAACCCTGGCCGGCTTCGACATTCCCAAGGGAACCATTGTGCTGCTGGGTCTGGACTACATTCACATGCAAACAAGCATTTGGGGTGATCCGGAGAATTTCCGACCGGAGCGGTTCTTGGACCATCAGGGAAAACTATCGCTGGCCAAGGATGTGTCGGTACCGTTCGGAGCCGGAAAGCGGCTTTGCGCCGGGGAGACATTTGCTCGGAATACGTTGTTCCTGATCGTGTCGGCATTGGTGCAGAGCTTCAATCTTAAACAACGACCGACGGATAAGCTGCCGGACTTCGGGAAGAGATCGACTGGAGTGATAATCACGCCTCCCGACTTCTGGATTAAATTTGAACCACGATAAGTGCTGCCAGTTTTAACTTTTGATTTAAGTTTTCATTCATTACAATAAAAAGCAATCGACTTATAGATCGAGACAGACCGGTTGAAAATTGATTTGTTTAGATGACTATCCGCACGAAAAACAATTGCTGCTTTCAATAAATAACAAAATTGCAATCACGAAGAAACTGGTGGATTCCATTAGAAGTCGTTTGTAAACATGCAAGCCATCAGCACCAGACCTGTCCATGAATGTTTGTTTGATCCCGAAAGCCAACGATCTGGTAAAACTGGTTCCACAAACATTCGTCCGCTTACAATCACAGTAAACAAGTAATAAATACCATCATAATTACCATATTACAATCGTTATTACGCCGGCAAATTACGGTTGAGCGCCACCGTTGTCTCTCTGTGATCGTAGTTTGGATTGATCGCGTGTTGCGTTGATAGTTATTTCCTTACAAGCTCTATAAAAGCATGCCGATTGCTGTAGAACACGACAGGGATTAGTAACAGTTGGATTGATTGGTGTACTGCAGTTATCTGGAAACAGCTCTCAAGTTGCAATTGCCTCAGTTTTTGAGTTTACGAATCGTATCGTAATCGGAAATCGTGCAGGGGCTATCCATACCGGCTGATGTACCTCGTTTTTTATTATTATTATTAACGACCCTGTAACCAGTTTAGTAATCCACAAAGATGCATCCACACAACCTTTGCCTTCATCAATGGATCTATTCAAATTGAGCTTTACTTTCAGAATGCAAGATCTGGAATCAACTGTCAAATTCTAGAGAAAACCGTATCAACAATTAGCGACCTTTATGTATTTATCGTATTTATTTGTCCTAACTGCGACGCGTACAACAACCGCAACCGGGATGCCAGCTTTGTAGATATGTCTTCATTTTGAAGTAACTTGAAATTCTTCGAATTGAAGTCGGCAGGGTAGATCTTTAACTAACTTTGACTAACTAACACCCTTATTCCTATTTACGACGTACTTGTTGAAATTTTTGAAAATTCGTAGAGCTTCTGGAAAAATCGTAGAACTTCTGTAAAATTCGAAGAACTTGTGCGAAATTTCCAGAACTTCTGCAGAATTTATTGAGTTTAGTTTAATTCGTAGAACTTCTGCAAAATTCGGAGAAATTCTGCAAAATTCGTAGAACTTCTCCGAAATTCGTAGAACTTCTCCGAAATTGGTAGAACTTAAATTTTAAAACTTCTTTAAAGTCCGAAGAAATTCTTGGAAGTTCGTTGAGCTTCTGGGAAATTCGTGCAATTAATCATAAAGTGGGTGGATCTTTAGAAAAATTCGAAGAACTTCTGGAAAATTCGTAAATTTTCTGCGAAATTCGTAAAACTTCTGGGGAAATATTAGAACATCTCCAGGCACCATAAAAAGTTTTAGAACTATTGGGATGTTTGTAAAAATTCTTAGATGTTCATAGAACTCCTGGGAAATTTATAGAACTTCTGGTAGTTTGTGGAGCTTATGGACAATTCGTAGAACTTTGGGAAGTTCCCAGAACTTCAAGGAAATTCGTATAACTTCTGAGACATTTGTAGATCTTCTGATAGACCTTTGAGAAATTCGTAGAACTTATGGGGAATTCGTATAACTTATGTGAAATTTGTAGAACTCCTGGGAAATTTGTAGAACTTCTGTGGAATTGGTAGGACTGCTGGGAACTGCTTGGAAGTACACAGCAAAAAATTAATTTTGATATCACATCAAAGTGGATGCACTTCAATCAACAATCAATACGAAACCAACGATTTTAAATTGGCTCACTACTTGACTACCCTATTGGTCCCAAGCAAATCGATTACGTACCCCATTCTAGTCAAAATTCTAGTACTACACAATGTATGTTTTGATTCGCTATGAAAGTTTGACAGATAAAATGAGGGGCTCGTGGATTTTCCTATGTTTCGAGGGGTGCATCGATTAGCTTGGGACCGAAGAAAGTACCAGAGCTGAACCTAAAAGTTAAGCACGTTTCTTCGGGATTTTCTTGTCCTCTATGCTTCAATCGTGTCGAAAATAATTACTTAATTAATTACTTACTTGATTAATTACTTGCCAAAAAGGACACAATTATCATTAATACATTGCATGAACTGACATTACGCTGCTTCAAATGCATTTGTTTATTTTTGTGGCCATAAAAATTACATGAGATTTTCGACATGATTGAAGTGCATCTTCTTGGGTGTAATATTAAAATTTATTTTTTGCTGTTTACATAGAAATTCTTGGAAGTTTGTAGAGCTTCTGGAAAATTCATACGACTTAAGAGAAATTGGTAGCTCTTTCGTAGAACTTTCGGGGAAGTTCGTAAAGGTCTGTAAAATTCGTAAATCTTCTGAGAAATTCGAATAACTTCTGGAAAATTCATTGAACTTATTGAAAATCTGTTGAACTTCTTGGAAATTCATAGAGCTTCTGAGATTTTTTTTAGAAATTCGTAGAACTTATGGTAAAGTTGTAGAACTTCAGAGTAGTTGGTAGATCTTTAGGGCAGTTCGTAGATCTTAAGAAATATTCGTAGAACTTCTAGGAAAATTTTAGAAATACTGGAAAGTTCGTAGAGCTTCTGGAAAAATCGTAGAACTTCTGATAAATTCGTAGAACTTCTGCAAAATTCGTAGAACTTCTGAGGAAATTTAGAACTGTTGGGAAGTTCGTAGAAATTCTTCGGATAACTTGTGATAAATTTGAAGAACTTCTGGAAAATTAATTGAACTTCCGGAAATTCGTAGAACTTTTGGAAATTTTCAGAACTTCTGGAAATTTTAGAACTGCTAGGAAGTTTTTGGGGCTTTTGAGAAATTTGTAGCAATACTAGGAAATTCGTATAACTTCTGTGAAATTCGTAGAACTTCTGTGAAATACGTAGGACTGTAGGGAATTTTGAAGAACTTTAGGTAGATTAGTAGAACTTTTAAGAAGTTCGTCAAAGTTCTGAGAAATTCGTAGCACTTCTGGGAAATGCGTAGAACTTCTGGAAAGTTCTGGGAAGTCCTGGTAAATGAGTAGATTTTTTTTTGAGCTGCTGGGAAGTATGTACGTAGAAATTCTTGGAAGTTTGTAGAGCTTCTGGAAAACTTGTACAACTTAAGAGAAGTTGGTGATCTTTCGTAGAACTTTCGGAAAAATTCGTAGATCTTCTGGGAAGCTCGCAGATCTTCTGGGAAGTTCGTAGATCTTCTGGGAAGTTCGTAGAACTTTTGGAAAAATCATAGAATTCTGGGAAATTCTTAGATTTTCTGTGAAAATCGGATATTTTTAGAACTTCTGGAAAATTCATAGTTTTTAAGAGATTTTCAGAACTTCTGGAAAATTCATAGAATTCAAGACATGAACTTCTGCGAAATTCGTAGAACTTCAGGGATATTCCTAGAATTTCTGGGAAATTCTTTGAATTTCCGGGAATTGCTTAGAACTTCTGGGTAACTCGTAGAACTTAACGGAAATTTCTAAAGCAACTTCTGATAAATTGTAGAACTTTCGGGAAGTTCGTTGAAATTCTTGTAAGTTCGAAGAACTTCTGAGAAATTCCAACAACTTTTGGAAAACTCATTGAACTTTTTAAAAATTCGCAGAACTTCTGGGAAATTCATAGAATTTCTGAGAAATTCTTAGAACTAATATAAAAATGGTAAATTTGTAGAACTTTAGAGTCGTTGGTAGAAACTTATGAAATATTCGTAGAACTTCTAGGAAAAATTCAGAACTACTGGAAAGTTCGTAGAAATGTTTGGAAGTTCGTAGTGCTTCTGGAAAAATCATACAACTTCTAATAAAATCATAAAACTTCTGGGAAAGTTTAGAACTGTTGGGAAGTTTGTAGAATTTCTTACAAGTTCGGAGAACTTCTGAGAAATTTATAGAACTTCTGGAAAATTCGTATAACTGCAGGAAAGTTCGTAGAATTTCTTACAAGTTCGGAAAACTCCTGAAAAAAATTTAGAACATATGTGAAAATTTTGGAAAAATCGTATAACATTTTGGAAATTTTCAAAACTTCTGCAAAATTCTTAGAAATTCTGGGACAATTTAGAACTTTTGGGAAGTTTATAGAGCATCTGGGAAAATCGTAAAACTTCTGGGAAATTTGTATAACTTCTGCGAAATTCCTAGAACTTCAGGGATTATTTGGAACTGTTGGGAAGTATATAGACATTCTTATAAGTACGGAGAACTTCTAAGAAATTTTTTGAACTTCTGGGTAAAACATTAAAGTTTTGGGAAATTTGTAGAATTTCTGGAAAATTAATAGAATGTCAAAAAAAAATAGAACTTCTGCGAACTTCATAGTACTTTAGGGATATCCTTAGAACTTGTGGGTAGTTCGTTGAGCTTCAAGGAAATACGAAGAACTTCTGGGAAAACTTACAACTGTTGAGAAGTTTGTAGAAATTCTTATAAGTTCGGAGAACTTCTACGAAATTTTTAAAACTTCTGGAAAATTCGTTGAACTTCTGGGCAATTTGAAGAACTTCATGAAACTTTTAAAACTTCTGGAAAATTCATAGAACTTCAAGACAAAATTTAGAACTTCATAGCACTTTAGGGATATTCTTAGAACTTCTGGGAACATTTAAAACTGTTGGGAAGTTCGCAGAAATTCTTGAAAGTTCGGAGAACTGCTGAGTAATTCTAAGAACTACTGGGAAATTCGTAGATTTCTAGAAAATTTGTAGAACTTCTGGTGAATTCATAGAACTACTGAGAAAATCAGCTTATCTGAAAGAGCTTATCTGAAACTTTTTTTTTCAGAAGTTCTAAGATTCTTATGATTTTTGGGAAATTCCCAGATTTTTTCGGACGTTCTCAGACCTTTTCAAATGTTCCAATTTTTTCGGAAATTTACTGATTTTCTAAGAAGTTAGAATTATTCTAAATTTTCAAGAATTATTCTGAAGTTTGCTGAGTTTTTCTTATCTTTCCAGATCATCTGGATGATCTATATTTTAAATTATATTGCTCGCCTAGAGGCTATTTTTGTTTTTCGGATTAATTCCAAGAAGAAGCTCCACCGCAGCAGTCACGGAAAATCCGCCAGACACGCTAAAGCATTAGAATATCTATTAGAACCGAAAGAGTAATTATAATTAATCACACAATTTACCTTGCTACTGGACGCCATTCTAGCAACCAATGGCAACTAACGCTCACTTTTTGACTAGCCTACTGGTCCCAAGCAAATCGATTAACATGCCCCATTCTAGTCAAAATTCTAGTACTTCACTATGTTTGTTTTGATTCGCTATGAAAGTTTGACAGATAAAATGAGGGGTTCGAGGATTTTCCGATGTTTCGAGAGGTGCATCGTTTAGCTTGGGACCGAAGAGAGTACCAGAGCTGAGCCAAAAGTTGAACATGTTTCTTCGGGACCTTCTGGTCTTAGAGTTACCTCTAGGGTTCTAGTCTTGTTATATTTCTCCATTCCTTGTAATAATTCTCTGAAAATCCCTTTACACCAATCAATGAAAAACCCGGCCTCAACAGTCGAATGAAAATTACAAACAATTCTATTCCGTTCGAAAAATCAAACGTCAAGTCAAACCGTCATGTTGAAAAAGTGTAAACACAACCAAACATAAAATCTCTCTAATAAAGTAAAAAAATAAACAAAAATTGCATCCGACATTATTTTTGAGCAGTTATCTCGAATCAGATCAACAGATCAAATAGTCTAAGGTTGTGAACCATTTGCTGAGGCTGTGAACCATTTGCCGAGTTAAATTTAACTCGTGGTTAAAAGTGACATTTCGAAAGTTATTTTCTATGTTCGAAAATCTCTGTGCTGTCGATCGACCGGTTTTCGAGAAGAACTCAGCCAAAGTTATCAAAATTTAACTTCTTGTCTGTCAGAAGTAACCATGCTCGGATAGCAGGGTCAATCGATAACTTTCCATCTGTCAAATTTTAACTAAAAGTTAAAATAATCCACCAAATGGTTCAGAGCCTGAGTTAAATTTAAGTCGTTGTTAAAAGTGACGTTTCGAAAGTTATTTTCTATGTTTGAAAATCCCCGTGCTGTCGATCGACCGGTTTTCGAGCCACGGTTGTTAAAATTTAACTTCTTGTCTGTAAGAAATAACCATGCTCGGATAGCAGGGTTCATTGATAACATTCCATCTGTCAAATTTTAACCAAAAGTTAAAAAAAAATCGCCAAATGGTTCAGAGCCTAAATAGACTTTTAGACTAGCTCAAAATATCACAAATGTCAAAAATGAATTAGAAAATAAGGGCCCTTATTACCGATATCACTTCACGGTGAAGTGAAAACTTATCACTCACGGTGTAGTGATTCCCATTTGATTTACACGGCAATCGCTTCACCGTGAGTGACACCTGGTCACTTCACTTCGTTTTCACCTTGAACTGATACCCGTAATAAGGGCCAAGGTCTATTAGTAGTTTCTTATGAGACACGTTTACTTTTAACATTCAATTCGTATTCATGGTGTAAATAGGGCTATCAATTTGGTTAATAATCATCTGAATTTTCCACTGAATTTGGTATCATTATCGATGATGTTCTTAAAGTGGCCCTACTGCGTTACCACTTCTACAAAGTTTTCCTGAATTTTTACAAAGCTTCTTGAATTACTACGAACTTTGTGAAGTAGCTAAATCAGCACCCAAAGCTATCTATGTGCTGTTGATCGGACTGGGGCGATCCCCTGGGTTCATTCTTCGTCTCGTGGGTGCGTGCCGCTAAGAATAACCTCAGATTGCGTGGTCATCGGAAAGGAAAGTTCGGCCTCGCGAGCACCACCCGTTACCACGTGGTTGCCACAATCCGCGAGTAGTCTGTCTGGGGAAAGTTAGCCACTGCCAGAGTGAATCGTCCAGACTCACGTCCCGGGTAAAACTCAAGAACCAGTCCTGATCAGATCCTAGCTCTCCCAGTGTACACCTCCGTCGCCCTAAGGAAGCCGGGAGTCCCCTTCCTGGTGTTATAGAACGCTGTCTTGGCATCCAAGTCGCCCTTTCGCACTCACCGCCCGGTCGTCGAAGTCGGTAATCCACCTGCTCGCATCCTCATGCGACGACCCGTCTGCAGTCTCGACAAACAGACCGGTCACAACGTCCGGACACACGTGGCGATAGTCAAGCACCCGTGATCGACGAGCGACGACGGCGTCCACCACCAACCCACTCCGTGGCTGGTGAAAGGTAATCCAACGATCGACGGACGCTGTAAGTACCTGAACCATTTCTTTAGTACCCACACGAACACATTCCACCTCCAGTAGGGAAGACAGTTTATAGTAGTAGGGGAAGAAAGGAGAGAGGGGATTTAATCCCAGGTTGACTCACGTTTAGGGACCAGATACATGGAATGACGTCACAGTTAGGAGAAGGTAGGGTGAGGGAAATGTTTTAATAGTTACAATACAGATATCAATCTTAACAAATAGACTTTGGAGATAAACATATTGCATGAGTGGAAGTACAAAAAAAAAACTTTTATTGTTTTTGTCTCAATAAACACAATGCTTTTCGTTTCAAATAAGTGAAATAAAATTGAACTTATTACGCTAATCAAACCGTATTTTGGGAGAATGTATGGAAAAGGATATTGGGAAGTTGGTTGAAGGTTTAGCACATCCTTGGAGGTGGATTCTGCTGTAGGGTTGGACAAACAGCTACCAGGGCAAACCGATCTGAGTTCTGACAGACGACTCTCGTCGTCTGGCGCATAAGTCAGAATTTTTGAGGCCCTACCAGGATCCTCCTTACAACTTCTCTGAAGCTCCTCGATTTTCAATTAAATTTATAGAATTTCTATGATGGCTTCTGCTCATCTACAAAGCCCTTGAAGTTCGACGGAGCTCAATGAAGTTAAATGGAAATCCTTTAGCATCAACGAAGTTCCCCGAATTTATCCAAATTCACTAAATTACTCTAAAGTTTGCAATTTTTTTTTTACCAAGTTGATGAAGCTCTATATAGTTCCCTTAACTGCCCTAACATGAAGTTGTTTTGAAGTTTTACGAAGACCGCTGTGCTTGTACAAATTTAGTTTAACTCCTGTAAAATTTACCTATGAACATCTATGAAGTTCTACAACAGTCCATGAGCTTTTACGATAATCTTTCAAATCAAATGATGTGCTCTTATATTGTACGAAATTATCTCAATTTCTATGAATTTCTATAAAGACTCAGTTTTATAAATCTGAAATATTGAACTCCTTCCCCGCCAGCAAATTTACCGTGAACACATTTCGCTGATCTCGTTGAAGATTTTTGCTAAATACACCTGGCATCCCTGGCCGCAATAATCATTTGCATTTACTTCATTTAAACTACCAACTGATACCTTCCGACAGCGGCAGCAGCAGCAGCAGAAGCGATTCTATAAAACCACCCCCATACACTTCAAACAGGTTTAGTCTAATCGCATCTAATCTCAAGTGTGCTAGTAAACAATCTCGATCCATCTACCGACAGGCAGCACAATCAGCATGCTGTTCAGCCCGAGTGTCCTCCTGTGGACGGTATCCATCGGTCTCCTTGTGTACCGATGCTATCGGTTCATGTTCGAGCGACCGCCGAATTTTCCCAGCGGTCCACCGCGTCTGCCCCTGCTTGGAGGTTATCTGATAATGCTGCTGGTCGACTATTGGCACCTTCACAAAGCAGCATTGAAGTTGAGCCGATTCTACCGGACCAAGATTTTGGGGCTCTATTTGGGCGACTTCCCATCGATCGTCGTCAATGATTTGGATATCGCAAAGGAAGTGCTGATCCGGGCGGAGTTCGATGGCCGTTCGGATCTATTCCTGGCTCGGTTGCGCGAACGAAACTTCCAACGGAGGGGAATATTCTTCACGGAGGGGCCGCACTGGAAGGAGCAGCGGCGATTCGTGCTGCGCCATCTGAGGGACTATGGTTTTGGGAGGCGGTTTGAAGATTTGGAAGCGGATACACAGGCCGAGCTGACGACGCTGTTGGATGTGTTGAAATACGGGGCCACGTTCGAGCACGAACGGTTATTTGCCCGAGGTGGTTACGTGAAGTGTCCGGAAGTGTTCTACGGGTGTTTGGCCAACGTGTACTTTCAGGTGGTCTGCGGAGAGCGGTTCCCTCGGAAAGATATGGGAGAATTGTTTGAGTAAGTTTTGAGTGGTGTTTTATCTTGTAACCAGATACTAATAGGGGAAATGTCGGCTTCGGCAATACCTTAACCTATTATCGTCAGGGGGAGTAAACAAAGTCCTAGAGCACTTAAATTTGGCCAATAGATGCTCTCAAGGACGTTGACGGTAATAGGTTACGGTGTTGGCGAAGCCGACATTTCCCCTAGCGAATTCGTTTATTATTCAGTTCCATCCTGGTTACTTTCTGACAACCGTCAGTTTAATCGTTTGTTGTTAAAAGTTGTTCGATAATAAACGAATTCGCTATAATCGAATTGGGTCAAGGCTTTCAATTCTGCGAAAATTAGCAACAAACAAAAACATTGCGATAATGGTGGTACCGTTATCTGTGTTATTGTATGCAACTTCAAACTTCCTAGGGGAAATGTCGGCTTTGGCAATACTTTAACCTATTATCGTCAGAGGATAAACAAAGTCCTGGAGCTCTCAAATTTGACCAATACATGCTCTGAAACACATTGTATCCACATGCCAAAGCTTGAGCTCTCAAGGTCGTTTGTTTAACCCCTGACGATAATAGAATAAGTTATTGCCGAAACCGTTATTTACCCTATATAATCTCGGAAGGAGGAGGTAATCAATTTTTATTTTTATGTTGCTTTGCAAATAGCAGGGCAAATGAAGATTGCGATGGCTCGTCAAAATGAGTGATGATTTTTATTATCACTGTCTCCGACGACGATATCCTATCTAAGCTGAGATGAATGACCATTAGGGTTAAAATTCCATTAAAAAACAAAAAAACAACAAGATATCCTATCTAACATGTATCTGATGTCCAGTTTCCAGTACAATCTCGATGTCCTAATTATGTAAGCCAGTTGGGGGCAATGTGGCCGTTCCTTCAAGCATCTAGTGAATTTTCATCTTATTAGTTGTTGTCACTTACTGGTTTCTGTCGTCATTCCTAAAGAGCCTGAATTTATAAATATTAGAGCAACCGTAACGGTCGTTGTCATTTGCGCGACTATTTTAACAGCGCACAGCGCTCTCATTTTAGTTTAGTCACTCTTCTCCACACCGGTCGCTGCTATCGCGGTTATCAATTTACTCGCCGTAGTCCGTACCGGTAGTGAGCATTTTGACTTGTCTACGAATAGCAACCTTTCTCTCGCGCTGCTAAATTTGGTAACGCGCTTCTCACCGGGAAGCCGACTGCTATTTTAGTTACTCGTATGGCAACCCCCGATACGGTAGCTGCGCTATGATGAGGGCTGCTAAAATGAGTTAAGAAGCGTACCGTTACGGTTGCTCTTAGAGTCGGTATATAATGAGTCACGCCAAGATTGAAGCCAAGTCTACCTATTGAACTGTCAAAACGGCTACCTATCGTGCAAAGCAAACAAACATTACAATGCTCCACAAAAGGTATTGCAATAAAATATAAGATATAATCGAAGAAATGATCATAAACACGCAGTGAGCATTAAAATGTCATGGGATACGTTTGGTAACGATCAGTAATGAGTAATTCTACCTTTTGGTAATTTTTACCGAAATCTGAACAGCTGAACTGTTCGGTAAAATTTATGCAATTCAATTCAATTGCTTTTCAGCTACTTTGAGATTTACACTAAAATGACAAGATTTGACCATTTAAACAAGGTTGAACATGTTTTGAAATTATTTTCAAATTCAATAGCCTTTAAAATGAAGGTTTAAAGTTTTACCGCACGTTCAGCTGTTCTGATTTCGGTAAAATTTACCGAACACGAAAACAAAATCTTAGTGTATACAAACGATATTTTTTTTTTCTCGCTGGAAGTCATTTGAAGTTGATGCAGAAGTCCTCTGTTGCCAAGTGAAAAGAAAGCGATTTTTTCAAAAACTGTGATGCGAGTTCAACTGTTTTTTCTCTTGGCGTGACTCATTATCCAGCATTTCACGAGCGCTGATGGTTGCCACAGTCTGGTTGAGTTTCTGGTGGGGAACATATGATTTGAAGTTTGGCTTGTGTCGTTTGACCTGTAAACGGTCAAATTTGATCGTTTGTACGTCAAACGACAAAACCCAAACATCAAATCGAATGTTCCCTACCAGAAACTCAGCTAGATTGTGGCGGCCATCAGCGCTCGTAACATGCTGGATACACCGACTCTAAAGTGGACCTTACACGGTTGCTTTTATTGACAATACAGTCAAGATTCCTATAGTGCGGTTAATAGGGACCGTACTATAGGAACCGGCATTAACGAATACACGTAGCATATGGGATTAGAGCTAATTGGGGCCAAACACTGATTGTACGGCAATTTGAAGAGATAACTTCCTGATGTCTTCTGAGAAGTTGTTTAGCAGAAAGTTGGCCACCTTTTGGGACGATTCAGTTTCCAGTGTCCACAAGTCTGATCCTGTGGAAGATCCGGAATATCCGTAAAAGTGGCCAACTAATGAAACTGATTCTAGAGCTCCGCGTTTTTTTTTAAACCACTCATAAACGTCTTATCAAAATGAATTCGGAGTTGTGACTGGAATATGGGCCCTGGGGACCACGGGATAGTTCATCGGAAGATCAGAAATATCCGTAAAAGTGGTCAATTCATGAAACTGATCCTAGAGCTCCGCGGTTTTTTTGAAACTACTCATAAACGTCTTATCAGAATGAATTCGGAGTTATGACCGAAAAATTGGCCCTGGGGACTACGGAATGGTCCACTATAATATCCAGAACACCCGTAAAAGTGGTAAATTGATGAAACTGATCCTGTAGCTCCGTGGATATTTTTTGAAACCACTCATAGACGTCTTATCACAATAAATTCGGAGTTGTGTTAGGAATATGGACTCTTGGGACTACGGGATAGTTCACCGGAAGATCCGAAACATCCTGAAAAGTGGTCAATTCATGAAACTGATCCTAGAGCTCCGCGGTTTTTTTCAAAACCACTCATGAACGTCTTATCAGAATGAATTAGGAGTTGTGACTGGAATATGGACCCTGCGGACCACGAGATGGTTCACCGAAAGATCCGGTATATCAGAAAAAGTGCTCAATTCATGAAACTGATGCTAGAGGTCCGTGATTTTTCAAACTCCTTATAGACGTCTTATCAGAACATATTCGGAGTTATGACCTTATTTTGGACTCTGGGGACCACAGGATGGTCCACCGGAAGATCCGGAACATCCGTAAAAGTGGTCAATTCATTAAACTGATCCTAGAGCTTTACGGAACCACTCATAAACGTCTTATCAGAATGAATTCGGAGCTGTGACCGAAAAATTGACCCTGGGGACTACGGAATGGTCCACTATAATATCAGAAACATCGGTAAAAGTGGTCAATTCATGAAACAGATCCTATAGGAAAGAGCTCCACGGATTTTTTGAAAGCACTCATAGACGTCTTATCAGAATGAATTTGGAGTTGTGACCGGAATATGGACCCTCAAGGCTACAGGATGGTTCACTAGAATATCCGGAACATCCGTAAAAGCGGTCAATTCATGAAACTGATCCTAGAGCTCCACGGGTTTTTCGAAACCACTCATAAACGTCTTATCAGAATCTATTCAGAGTTGTGACCGGAATATGGTCCCTGGGGACTACAGAATGGTTCATCGGAAGATCCGGAACATCCGTAAAAGTGGCCAATTCATGAAACTGATCCTAGAGCTCCGCGGGTTTTTAGAAACCACTCATAGACACCTTATCAGTTGAGTTCAGAATATGGACTCTGGAGACTACGGGATGGTCCACCGGAAGATCTGTAACATCCTTAAAAGTGCTCATTTCATGAAACTGATCTTAGGGCTCCACGGTTTTTTAGAAACCACTCATAGACGTCTTATCACAATGAAATCGGAGTTTTGACCAGATATTTTACACTGGGGACCACGAGATAGTCCACTAAAATATCCCGAACATCCGTAAAAGTGGTAAATTCATTAAACTGATCCTAGAGCTCCGTGGTTTTTTAGAAACTACTCATAGACATCTTATCAGAACTTTCGGAGACGAACCAGCCCAGGGCTGAAAGTCTCCTAACTAGAGATATATAAAAAAATCTTATCAGAATTGTATTCGGAGTTGAGTTCAGAATATGAACTCTGGAGACTACGGGTTGGCCCATCGGAAGATCCAGAACATCCCTAAAAGTGCTCAATTCATGAAATTGATCCTTGAGCTCCACGATTTTTTTAGAAAGCACTCATAGACATCTTATCACAATCAAATCGGAGTTTTGACTGGACAGTTTATACTGGGGACCATGGGATGGTCCATTAAAAGATACAGACTGATCCTAGAGCTCCACGGTTGTTTTTTTTTTCAAAACCACTCATAAATTAATATTAATAATAACTCAATAAGACGATGTTTTCAAATGGCTTATTGATTAAATTTTTATGCGATGAATATAAAATATAAACATTGAAGCTAGTCCCTCGTTAACTTGTATCTCCAAATAAACATATCTAAGAAGTCAAGGGAAATAAGTCCATGAAATCCAAGGAATAATATTCAAAAATTCCGTTCAAAGTGTCTGGAAGTTATTAAATACTTAAATGCCACCTAGAAATCATCCATGATAATAAATAATAAAAATGTGTCTATGAGCAGTTCTAAAAAACCACTGAGTGCTTAGCTAGTGAAACTAGGGTGGTCCACAAAATTGGAGATTTGAAAATACAAACTTTTTTTTATTATTATTTGAGATAGACCAATGCAATGTTCTGAAAGTTGTAGAACAATCAATTTGAAGCAATTTTGCTCAAGTTACAATATTTCTATCTCGTATGGTTCATGAGTTATGATTTTTTAAACAAGCAAGTTAAGATGGCCCCTAAAAATCAGATTTCTTCGAATATCTTTTCATAAGTTCATTTCTCTTTAAAACCTTGTTTTGGTTACATTTAGAACTTATGATGACGCATATTTTTGCTGAAGCAACCAGGCTGCTATCTTTTTTTAATTATTAGAAAATTAATGGAGATTTTCTTCGAAAAAAATGGTT